GGGGGGGGGGGGGGGGGTATTATTGCTGCGCTGTACGTGATGTAATTGCCGACGAAAGCTCGATAAACGCGTTAATGCGTGCCATACGTGAATAGTCCATCCCAATGCACGACTCCTACTCGAATAAATATCTCTCGGTATCGCGCGCGAGAATGAAGAGCAGCTATACGAGCGTCGACTCGGGAATTATAGGTAAATCGATAAGCGCGCAAAGACGACACACCTATACCTCGTCGCGGCTCGCACAAAAGTATACGTGTAGGTGTGTATATTAAGGTGTATATGTACATCATCAGTGACAGAAAGCGACAGACGGACAGTAGACCCCTAGACGTCGTAAAACACACACACACGTGACTCGTCGGTCAAGGTCTGACTGGAGCTTGACTCGTACTACTCGTTCTTGGGGCGACGTCTATACTGCTTTGGCCCTTGTATATAATTATATATAGGTAAGTACACGCAATACACAGGTATATAGGCTGGATCAGCCGAGCGTGTCTGTCTCTTTTACGATGACAGGTTTGCACGACAAAGTCAGCCTGTCTCGCGAGAGCTTTAATTATTATACTGAATTTAATGTGCTTTTGACGAGGGAGTCGCACGTCACGCGACTTTTTGTACGCGTGCCGTCTTTTGTCATTACGAATGAAACTCTGAGCGTTTATAAATATTATAGCGCGAGATTGTATTTGACGCGAGTGATGTGATGTACAACTGTCTTGAACAACGTTTTTTTTTCGTTTCGTTGTATTGTTTGTTCAACGATCGATGCTTTTAATCGAATCAAGTGATTTTTGGGATATTTCAGACTTGTGGACATATTCGCTTTGGCTGTTTGTTTACTGTTGGATAAAATTATCAACTATTTTTGGGTACAAGAGATTATTAAAAAAAAAAAAAAAAACAATCACCGACTACATTTATTTATCGTTACTTGGGAGCTGCGGCTTTTCGTTAATGAGCTATTCATCGACCAAAAGCAATTCCTTTCATTGGAACTTGTTTGTGCGAACCAGAGAAATTAAATCAAGAAAAAGTAGAGACGTACAATGGAAAATACTTCACCCGAGCACTCCGAGTCAATTATAATTGCTTTTACACAAGCTCGAGTCATTCTCTCGAAATCTCTTCTTTTCTTTCGCGCTCGAAACGTTTTCGCTCCAGCAAAGCCACCATCAACTCACTTCTACTCTAATTTAATTGAATTCAATTGTAATGATATAATATACCCTCGACGTAAAATTTTATGTTTTTTTTCCAATAAAAAAAATATCGGTCATAAATTCGTGGCATGAAAAAAAAAAAAATCATGCATGCGAACGTTAATCTTTAGTTTTTGCCATGCAAAGGATGTATACACTGTTGATACTGTAAAAAGGGACAAATAAATNAGGGAAAAATTTCCTCTGGGGTAAAGTTGTTGGGAACCAAACGAGGAAAAAAAAAAACCTCCTTTCAGCCGCTCTGTGTGTGCACACCTTGGTGATTATACAGGACGCGTACTATTATGATTATCGTTGTTATTAATTTTTTTTTTTTTTTTTTTTTTTTTATTTCAACGCGTTAAACGAAACTACGAAGAACACAATAACAACGACGAGGTGTAATATTATACATGGGTACACGCACGGAACGCCCACAAGATAGAGTCGTGTGCCGTCAATCGAAGGCCGTCGTCCACACACGCACTTGGAGAAGAGAATCACAAAAGGCGGAGAAGATTTCCTCCGTTGTTTCCCTCTGCCCAGCTATGTCATTCCACATGATGTGTGTTTCCAAATTTCGTACACGGCACATATAGGTTACCTATATATATGTATGTACAGGTACCAAGGCAACGAACGTCTCGTGACCGAGGCCCGTATATTACTCGCCGCTGATGGTATTATTTGGCGCACGTCTCGAGTAATAATACGCTTACACGAGCCGGAGGAAAGAGAGTGTATACAGGTATAGACGGGAGCGTAAGGGAGTTCTGTATGTGTGTGTACGGCCAAAGCACGAAATTGAAGAGCTTATCATCCATCGCAAATCACCTCAATTAAACAAGAAGGAGAGAGAGAGAGAGAGGAAAGCGCCGATTTTCTCGTCACGGCTACCACTGTTGCACTGTTATACGTTACACATAGAACTACCGGCCAAGGAAACTTTAATTACTTAATAGCCACTGCCGCTACCACGCACGTATATACACGTGTACCACACATTATTACGCCTCCGAAGATCCATGCATGTATGTACACAGCTCGCAAGATAAAAACGACGATAGCTTAAATTTACCTTTTTTTTTTCTTTCTTTTTTTAGAAAGACCGAAGCAAGTATAAACGGTGATAATGGAGGGACGCATTAGTCGGAATGGTCATGGACGATCGTTACACGTTGTTACGAAAGCCTCTTTTGGCACGAGCTTTTCAATTAGACGCATTACCGGAGGTATCGCCCGCGGTGCTGTACAGTGCGCCTATATAATATACATGGTGGGTGTTGCTCGAGCGACAAAAGAGACACACGTGCCAATTACTGGCATCAGGTCAAAAGAAGCAGTACCTATACAAGATAACTCTTTGTGTGATCGGTATACGATTGATCGAAATGAGAAAACTATTAGCTTGGATGGGGTATCAAGTTTACGTGTAATCGGATGATTGGACATCCGGCAGTAAGTGGATTTTGCGCAATTTATAGTGGCATTACGCGGTGAGCGCGTGTGTTGTGTTTCGAGAAGATTCTGCCGAGGGATAAAAATGTACGTTTTATTGGTGCCGCGGTTGTTGGGCGTTGTCGCATCAAATTCTTCGATAAGAAGCTTATATTTGGGGCACGTTTCATCTCACGTGGATCGGGGCGTTTTTTTTTCCGCGTCGAAAAATTTTGGATTTGAAAAAAAAAAAAAAAACTTTGTTTCGCTGGACCAATAATAAAAATTAAAACTATTTTATGACTCATTCTATTGATAATATTTGTGTAACTTGAAATTTACGCTGCAATACATCCGAAGAAGCAATTATGATAATTTATTAAAGTGCACTTTGTCGCAATTAAAAAAAAAAAGGTCGACTCGTTGAGGGATGCGTATTAATTTTTATCAGCGGGAAAGCCCACTATTTTCCAAACAAAATACACATAAATCATCCTTTACATTGACGTTTTTCATATAAAGAAAAGAAATCGAATAAACCTTCATCCAATATTTCAAGCTTGTATTCATAAGCATAGTCCGTATATACATACACATGGGGTAAACATGTGTGGGATCGGTCGAAAAGTAGGGTAGGTATTGCAGGTAATCAGTCTCACCATAACACACGTTGAGAATAATTATACAGAGTAGGTACGCGTCACGTTTCAGATAACGAAATAATTACATCAAGCATGTGACTGCAGGGCTCGTGTGTGTGTGTGTGTGTGCGTGTGTGCATATTATGTATACATGTACGAGAGAGCGAACGAGTCCACGAGCTCTCATCAGCCAATTCAACTTCGTTTTCTCTTTGTACGTACAAATGAACGACAAATTGAATTTTTGCTAATGCGAGTCCTCTAATAACCCCTGCACTTTAGTTGATCATCGCGGAAGGACCAGGTTACCGGGTACACCGGGCCAACTCGAAAAATATATCATGAGATAAAAAGTACATATATTTATTGTAAGTGTACATCGTACATATATATACATACTCACAAGATATCAAGGGGGAATTGGGGTGGCCACTGGTGACGCGACCAGACCTTGATAGGCATCTGTGCTCCGATTTTGCCTCGCTCACATTTCACCAATACGTAGCCACGCCGACCGCTCTCCTCGTTTTTTCTTCATCTGAAAAATCAATACACAACAACATAAACTATACGTTACATACAAATTTTTATAATTAATTCAAAAAATATGAATAAAGAAATAGGCTCAACAGAAATCCATCCAAAGGAAAAGATAAAATTTTGATTGTTATTCGAGTGAATTTTCGGAAATGCAAACACAGCTGTAGGGCTAGTCTTGTCAAGACTTAATCTCAAGTCTATAGAAATTATTTGAATAAGTATACAATTATACGGGGTCTTAACACATCATTTTCTGATACATGATCCTGTTTTGTGAATCGAGTACATACCTAGATATTATTCCAGCATAATATTAAGGGAGTGTGGTGACATGCACTCGAGTAAGGTTTTTGTTTTACCTATAAATGTGTCTCTCAATTTTTTGTTCTCGTAATGACAAGACTCGGGTTCAAAGTGTCAATTCTTGCCTAACTTAGGAGGGACTGCAAACGGGCTATTTACGTACGTCCACTGTGATATTAGAACAGCTGAGTAACAAATAGCACTTTTCTTTACGTTCAACGGAACAGTTAGGTACAGGTTCGTGCAAGTTTGAAATAAATTTTCCTCGAAAAGCCTCATGTATGGAAAAGGTCTTTGGAAACCGATTTCGTTGGTCTCTTCTCTTATTTTGCCTTTTATATATAAGCAGTTGGAGAAAGATCTTTGCTACTTGTCCTGCTGAAAAAGTAATTTAATTTGAAAAGAAAGGTCAAGTCAACGCCGTCTGTTCCCGTAAATTCTTACTTGTTTTTCAAAATATAATCTCATTTCAAAGTAACGAGTTTATTTATAAATCCCTTGCAACAAGATTACCGTAGACTGGACCGTGCTATGAAAATCTGATTCAAGTTATCTGTGCCCTTATCGAGAAAAGGAAACAGTCTAAATCGATCGCAATTCAGGACTCCTCAGTTAACGATTTTACGGAAATAGTATTACTTCATTTCCAAAATAGAATTTGTCAGGAACGACTAGAATATTCACGAAAGGTCAATAGTTCGAAACGTACATCCATAAATACAAATCGTTCCGAAACTGTCTCTTTTCGTAAATTCGTAATTTATTTTTTTTTTGGTAAATCGTTTATGAAATAAAACAATCGTTCTTCCATTATGCACGACTCGCTTGTGGGGTACATTTTATATTTATAGTACATCGATCCTTACCGCGAACAGAGCAATTAACCATATAAACTGTACGTGCATATGTATGTACATCAACGCCTGCTCCACACGTCGACCTAAACGACTTGACCGGAGACAGCTAGAAGTCGAGGGTATACATTGCGTCTGTGAGCTCAGAAGCAGAAAAAGGAACGGTGACAACTGCCACAACGATGGAGCGCCGAGAGAACATCAGTTGTTGCAGCAGAGGGCCATTATAACCGAGTGAGGGCAAAAAAAAAAAAAAAAAAAAAAAAAAAATCGAGAAACGAGAAAGTACAATGGAAAAGGAGTACGTCCTTGTCGTGTCATTGGCAGAGGTACAGAGGACGAACAAGAGAATGGTAGAGCAGCAGCAGCTACCAAGACTTAGCAAGTACAAATGGGATCTGCTTAACCGAATGGCAGACGTTATCTCCCTCTTTTGCTCTTTGGCTTTTTTTTTTTTATTTGTCTGAACATCATATACCCGCGTATATCGGGTGAAAGGCAATCAGGAGTACCACAGTAAGCTTTTTTTCTTTAGTACTGCTGTTACTCTTGTCTACGTGTTTATAAATATTAAAAAAAAGGTGCAGTAGAGACTATCGGCGATCTTGCAATATAAAATGAATACTGTCTGATTAGAGCATTCAATACATTGCATACTTCACTACAGCGCACTGGTTATACTGCATTATTTGTATATTCAACGATTGCTAGTTGAACATTTTATTAGTCTACTTGTCACCAATTCATAAATGTAAGTATAGTGAAGCAAATCATGGTCTAGAAGTACTATAAACGTAAAGAAAATGACATTTCAAAAGTACAACAGTTTAGAACTGTAATGTTGTGATATGACGTGATTGTGTAGATGTATTATAAATCAATATAATTACAATTGGAATAATTTGTAAGAAAATCTTTTTTTTTCTTTTGTCACGCAAGTACATCCAATAATTCCCCACATTGCATAAGCTATGTAGCTCTAAAAATTAATTATAAACGTTAGTTAATCGTACACGTTTTATACCGTTTGTTACTTTTCACCGCTTTACATAAATATCTCATTTCATATAGTTGCAAGACTAAAATCAGTCCCCAACGCCCGTCCCCCTCCCTTGCCACCCACTAAATTTTGGTATATCTTTTGAGCCTCTTTCAAAATAAGGTAAAAATCTTAATATATCTTCTTTATTTCAACTTAATCAAACCATCCTATTTTTTTCCAGAACCCTCTTGCCCCTTCACAGCCTCCCATCCTTATAATTTTGAGACCCTCCTCTAGTCCCGCCTCTGGTACCCCGTCAGGCTACCCACTATGATTTAATCATGTCTAACAAATCTTTGTGCATTCATTTAGTTATATTATTTTAGTCTTACACATATTTTATTTAGATATAAAATGAGTAACAGTAAATGTGATAATTACACGTATAAATGCAGAATAGTAAAAAAAAAGTTTAAGTTTGTAAATCAACGATAGTACCACATAGTCCATCCTACTGGGTACTTTTGACAGGACACAGAAAATGTCTTAAGCATACTCAAGGTAATATTAAGTTTAACAAAGAAAAATTTTCTAATAAACTATCTCACATGCTGTACTGACCTTTTAACAACCGACAGTGACTTTATCTGATGAGCTGGCTAAGTGTTAGTTTTTCTTTGAAAAGTTTTATCGTTAATGGAACTATATAGTATTTGTTTCTGTAAAAAGAATTTCAGCCTCACACTATAATTCCATCAATAAATTGTGTTAAACAAATCTTATTTTATATTTATCAAACTTTAAAATAAAGTAAGAAGCTCAAGTCTAGTCAAGATTTAGATTCAAAAATAAGATACGTGAATATTCCAGAGTATAACTGTTTTGTTTCAAGGCTAACAACTTGGGTTGAAAGAGAAAGAGTATGACATAATTAAAAAATAGGTCAACCTTATATAGTGTCACATGAGGACTCTGAGCTTTTTTTTATTTTAAATTAGGCAAGTGGAGCTTAATCTTTTGAAAGTTTCAAAACAGTTTCTTACAGTACGTTCAAACATACTGATATTGCTTCACGTTTAGTTAAACACGATTTTTAAGTCTACAAAACATTTTTCAAAGCTTGTAACGTTATGCTGCCAGAAATTAGTGTTTTATAAACATCAAACAACAAACTTATACTACAAACATCTGCTAAAAGTTTTTGCTTACTAATTACTTATGCTCCCTCAATTTCTAAGATGTTGAATCACAAGATTAAAGCAAGTCAGTCAAAAAGAATATTGTGCTTAAAAGTGTAGCTAAAGTATAAGTATCAAGGATGACTCGCTGTAGTCGTCGTCGTCACTTGCTCTTTTACGCGCTTAACTATACAGCTAAATCCAACATTTTGACTCCTGTCCTCGTAGGCGCACATTTGGTATTTCGACGAATTTCCAAAATGTGCGCCTATAAGCACATTTCTATCCTAATCCACTTCTTTTCTTGTAGACGCGTACCACTACTATTTTTCTCAAATGAAGAAAATTGTGCACCTAGTTTGGCTGCTTGGCCACAACAGGACGCTCAAACCGGATTATTGAAAGAAGTCTTTTGAAACAGTTTTTTGATTTTTGTATTTTTGCATCTTTATAAAGCCAAGTATAATTAACAAGGAGAAAATAAGCATTTTCCTTCAATAAAAACCTTTATTATTAAAACTTTGACTTTAAGATTAGTTTATCATCATAACAAACGCTATGACTGGAAGCTCCTTACAATACAAAATTGAAGGTCATGTTCAAATATTATCTGTGTTTAAAGTTATTTATGGAATAATGACTCTGTTTCTAAAATTTTCTAAAGTTATTATTCCTTCTTTCATATGACACTTGATTGATTCCATGATTTTTAATCGTTTTCTTTTAAAGAATCCATTGGACATGCTTAAATTCCTAAGTAACACCACTACGGTACCAATTTTTAGTTTTAGTTTAGGTAATAATCCTTTACAAATATTGTTCAACGTTTCTACTGGAAAATGTATGTATACATAAATATGATTGATTCTGCTGCAATTGACCAGTTTCATGTCCAGAGCTCATGCTTGTTAAAAGGAACTAAAATTAAATGTTCAAATTGCGTAACGTTATGTAACATCTATTAAACTTACTTAAAAAAAACTTGTAAGCCGATACATTGACTTTTTAAAAAGGTTATTAAGAAAATATAGTCAAAATGTCACTTCTGTACCCAGTTCTAATCTCAATCTTACACCTAAAAGCTCCTACTTATAAACAAAATAAGCTTTTCTAACTTATTTTCGTACATACATCATTCAGTATAGACGTTATATGTTTCATGAATGCCATAATTACATCTTTTTTTTATTAATAAGTAAGAGTTTTAATGAAATTTCAAATACCCCGCAATTTAACCGATAATGTCAGTTATAGCAGAATTTGCTTTGAAAAATGCACTGTTCTGTTTCGTAACACATTTTAGGGGTTACTTTTCTAATCTCACATCGTAGCAAGACAATCACACAAGCCAAAGCTATCAAACTTACTGATCTCTTTAATTGATACAAGTAGGTATACTGGGAGGGTTCTGGCTCTCCTCCCCTAGGAAGGAGCTGAAGCATAAGGCTTCTGGCTCACCTCCCCCTGGAAAAGTGTAGCTTGAGGGTTCGGCTCACCCAGAGGTAAGAGTATTGGGCTTTTTCACCTGAGTGGGTGGCTGCCACGGAGGGGGAATGCCACACATGCGTGTAAAAGGTCACAGGTCAGGCGTGCTGTGGCACGAGCTTATCTGGGCTCCCTCCTTTTCTAGTGTCAGCTTGCTCCCCAGACTAGCTTTGAAATGGTACCACTTGCCTATACG